ACTAAACTTAGTTCAAGATTGAGTTGTTAGGAGGTTCCAACAACGAAAACTAATTTGCCTATAAGTGATTGAGTATCATTGCATCTATGACTAATTGTTTAGACCAAGGTGGATATAAAATCTTTTGACTAGAAACTTTCTCATAATTTGCTTTCATTTTTTTTAACTATCATTTGAATTTTATTTTAACTACACTTTAGTTTTAAAAACTCAAAACCCCCCTTTCGGTTACTCATTTGAAAGAAACAAATCCACCATTCCCTGAGGAGACGACCTTGCTTTCCTATGCTACTAGTTTGAAAGTAGGTTAAATTGTTTGTTGTTTGACACCCATCAATATCCTACAATGATCAGAACTTAGAACCATTGTCGCTCGATACTATATAATAATTGTATACTCCCTTCGGTCCTTAATATAAAGCATTTTAATTTCGTCCTATGTTTCAATTAGGATGTCTTTTTAATTGAAATAAAAATCTTAAAAACATTTCATAATAATTAGGAGAACACAACGAATGAGAAAATATATTTTTAAGGTGTTTTTTCTAATTAAAAAGACATTCTAGGTGAAACCTAAGACGGCATCAAAATGCCTTATAATAAGGACCAGAGGGAGTATAATATTAGAAAGACTAAAATGTCCAAATGGTCACTTACATTTGAGCTTACTTGATTTTATGTCCATAACATTAATATTTCAATATCGTAGTCCCAAACAATATGTTTTCACACTTTTTTGGTCCCATTTCACTGTTTCGACCACTTTTCCGTCCAATTCGATGTTGACCGACAGTTGACATGTCGGAATCAGAAGTATTTTCGTTTTTTTTATATAATTTAAACTTCCATTAAAATTTAAATCATTAAAAATATTATAAAAATTCACATTTATTATTTAATTGTTAAAATATTTTATTAATTTAAAATATTATTTTAAAATTTTAAAATTTAAATTATTTTCAAAGTTACTTTTTTCTTTACTAAAATAAATATTAATTATGTTGCACTTTTAACCGCCCACTGTAACTTTAAAAATTACCGAGTCACAATAAATAATTCAAAATTCAAATTAAAAAAAATAAAATAAAACCAAGATTTTTGACTTTGACAGCTACAATAAATCTTGAGTTATTTTTTTAAAAGAAAAAGAAAATTGTGGGGTGAAAATTCGGATAAAAAATAGTTTATTTAAGTTTTTGGCTTAGTTATTGCTTTGAATTGAAGATATAATTTAAAAAGGAATCTCGCCGGAATCCGGCCGGCCGGTAACGGCAGGAGGTGGTCCGGCAGCGGGCAGCGTCGGTGGAGGTGTGGAGGTGTGGAGGTGGTGGTGTATAGATAATATTATTTTATTTAAATTTCTATTCCAACAACTTTTTAAATTTTCACTAAAACCACATTTTAAATTATATCTCCAATTCAAACTATAAATTAAAATAAACCTTTTCTTAATCCGGATTTTCGCCCCCTCAATTTTCTTTCCTTTGAGCCCGCTGGATTTTTTACTTCAACCGAATAAAAAATTGGTAGGTGAAAATTCGGATAAAAAATTTAGTTTGCTTTTTCTTTTTAAATAAAAAATTGAATTTTGAATTAGTTACTGTAGCGCGGTAAAATTTTGAGTGATATGGAGTTAAAAATGAAACGTAATTAATATTTATTTTGTATCCAGCATAAATGATAAATAGAAAAAGAAATTTTTTAAAAATAATGTAAGTTTTAAATTTTTATAATAATATTTTAAATTAATGAATAATATTTTAGTAATTAAATAATTAAATGTGAATTTTATGATATTTTTAATGATTTAAATTTCAATGAAAGTTCAAAAAATTAAGTCAAAAGACGAAAATACCCCTGATTTCGGAAAGTCAACTACCGATCAACATCGAGTTGTACGAAAAAGTGGCCGAAACAGTGAAATGGGACCAACAAAGTGTGAAAATATAATGTTTGGGACTGTGATGTTGAAATATTAATGTTAGAAACGTAAAATCAAGTAAGCCCAAATGTAAGGGACTATTTGGACATTTTAGTCTATTAAAAAAGGGAAAAACTATATTGTAGTCCCAAGATTTGGGAATATCGAGTAGATTAGTTTGGGACCAAACTAATCTACTGAATTTTTCCAAACCTTAAGACTAAATCATAGGTTTTCCCACTGGAGAATATATTAGCTGAAAGAAGATACTATAGGTCAATGTTGTTTGATGTTATTTTTGTCGTAATTAAAATTTAAAAGACTCAGAATATCCTCTGTTGATACGGGTACGTTCATATTGTAACCTGATAAGAATGAATTCTATCATTATTTCTACCCATCAGAAACAAAAATATGTAAAAATCGAAATAAAAATAAAAATGAAAAAAAGACTCCATCAATATCGAGTTGAGGACACATTCAAGGCTATACCTTGCAAAACCAACAATGCATTTGAGGATAGATTCAAGGTTCTTTAAACGCTGTCAGCTTCCTGCAGTACCAAAGCAAAATTCGCGACGAAAAACGCGTCGAATTTAGTTTGCTGCGACTAAAGCTAGGCTGCAAATCCATCGGTACGTCTTGAGAAGCATGCGGACAATCGGAAATGACGTGAAAACTGAGGAAGGAAAGATGCGGAAAATCGGTTTTCATGTGACGGAGAAAACAGAAGCAGAAAAGGACGCGGCATTTCGGGCATTCTGATGACGGAGGAGTCCACTAGGAAGAAGGTAGTGAGGAGAATTAGATAATACAGTGATTGTGGAGGTCCTGGAGGAACAAAAACCCAAAGCAATTGGACAATAATAGCTAGCTCCTACCAACTCGTTATTGCCAATAAATTTTATTATAAAAGATTATATTTTAATACTAATGACTTTAGAGATTTCACATATTTTATATATTTTAAATTTAAAAATTATATATGACGTAGTATCAGTATTATCCGTTTTGTGTCCCGGACTAATGGGTTGAGTCAGTGACCCAGTAACCCTGACAACATTGCATTTTACAATCACTTATGTTCCAATTTAACCAGCACGCTTTCTTTAGAATCCTAAATGAGAGAATTCATACGTTTTAATCCCACAAGTTAAAGATGCATACTTTCTCCTTTTAAAAATGTGTGGGTGGTGGATGACATTGCCATCTGTCCCTAAATAAGTACATATTGAATTTTAAAATTTGTATGCCAGTTTTTCTACAAATTTCAAAAGGTAATATGAATTATTTTTTTTGGGCGGTGATATTAGTTAAGTTGAAATGGTTTCATTTATGCAGTAATTAAATTTAATTTTTATTTTTCTATTTTATGCTTTTCACTAATCTCTAAAATATAAAACAATTAGTCGAAAAAAGTTAATTGAAACTATTTCTATTTTCTCATTAGCACGTTCGAACTTCTTTAATATAAAAGAAATACTTTTTCTTTCCCTAAATTGAACTCGACAATGCTTTGTAAATTGTAAGGTAGAAAAGTTTAAATTTACATTCTCGGACCCGTGGCAACATAACCTCAACTAGCAAATGCAGCCATTTTTTCATTTCTACCTCTCAAACTCGTTTGACCTGGTCAATCAAGGAAAATACTTCCAGTAGTCCAGTGTACATACGTTGGTCAACCTAAGCAGAGTATTTAGTTGACTAACTTAGTAACTAGTTAGACAGTTCCAAATTGTTCGGAGATAACTGGCTTCTGACAGGGGTTTACCGGAACTAAACGAGGAAAACTTTGTGTGGAATATAATAGTCGATCCGCTTGAAACATTCGATGGTTTCTGAAGAACCAAAACAAAAAGCAAATTAATTTGCTTATAACAATATTACATACTTTCAGGCTGAGAGGAACTGAAAGGACGATTAAGCGCATAGAATGATCATATCATAGTCTTGAAGGCCCAAATATAGGCCCACATGTGGTTCCACCTCAAAACCAATTGGCAATGAGGGGAGTAGCACAAGGGATATATATGTTGAGTTCAAGAGTCTCCATCCATCCATGTGGGACAAGGGAACATGATGTAATTTCTTTCTTTTCATTCATTTAACACACCCCTCTCAAGCCTAAGGGGCTTGGACGGGAAATTTTATATATATTTTTTCTGATTTTTTTTTTCTCAGTCTTGCGATCGGTTATTTTCCCGGATACACCGTCGCTTGCCGGGCCAGTCAAAGTTCAAAGTCAAACCCTGAATTTCTTCCTTAGGTTGACCAAAGTTTCAAGACCCAATCTGGGTCAGTCCACCTCGCCCCACAAATTCCACAGGTCCGCAGATTAAACCCGCTCTGATGCCATCTTGAAGGCCCAAATATAGGCCCACATGTGGTTCCACCTCAAAATCAATTGGCAATGAGGGGAGTAGCACATGGGATATATATGTTGAGTTCAAGAGTCTCCATCCATCCATATGGGATAAGGGAACATGAGGTAATTTCTTTCTTTTCATTCATTTAACACATAGGACTGCTGATATATCATATGTTTAATCGTCTAACCCTTTCGAATTTAAGGTTGTATTTCTTTATCCATTTCGAGGGCCGCCTTAGGCCGGCTTAATTCACCGTCTGTAATTCCGCTTTCTCAGTCAGTTTCAAATTGGCGGTTGTCCCTAAGTTTTGCCATTGTGCAAGTCGACGGCGCACTACGGCCCTCTGGCCGCCGTACCTATACATATCTTGATTCATTTCGCATTTTAATGGTTTAGGGAAATCCGTTGTTAATCCTTTTTGTTGTTGTTGTTTGCCGGAAGCTGATCAGCGCAGTCAGACGGCCAGTTTATGTACCGCCAAACGACAAGTGAAATTGGCCGGACTTCGATAGTGACTTCTTTTGCTTGGTAACTAAGCTACTTTAAAAAACAATAGAACCACCAAGATCTTATCGATGTTGTAAAATGATTACATCATCCTCAAGAGTTTGCTGACGCATTGATCCACTATAAATGAAGACATTGTCTTTTCTTTTCCAACCAAATTCATAACTGAACGGAATTTATTCTACCCTTTATATGTCATTTCAATGTCTCAGTCTGCAAGGGGAAATTATTTCTCCCGTTCAGCTACTATTCAAAACATAGGGTTCATAAACTTCCAAATTCACCAAACAATTCAGGAAACGATCGCGTCTTCACGGCAAACCATTTTCGGGTTTCTCGTGGCAGTGCTGATTAATATCCTTCAGCTCAAGTACCAAGGAAAAGCCGATTCTCCATTTGAAACTCACCCGAAAACCATTTGGCTGGCTGTTACATTTTTGTTCTTGTATTTTTTGGCACAAGATGCCAAATTAAGGGTCTCTGAACCTAATTGCTATGCCTTTTCCAGGTGTCAATCATTTGCTTACACGGGAATGGCAATCTTTGGCCCTTTGTCCCTCGCGTCAATGTCATCCCTGATTTTCCCTGAAAATTTGGGTCCATTTTTATATTTAGCAGCCATTTTATATTCCCTCAGTTTGATTCCCTTTCATCTGGCTAGAAGGACCTGGAATCGGTTCAAAGATTTCATAGAAAGTAAAATGTATGCTCAAGACGATCACCACGAAAGAAGCAGCGGATGAGTTCAGATACTTTGGTATAATTGTGAAAATGCCATAAATGGCCAAGTTAATATACTTCCTCCCGTGTAGATCATATTAATGGGTAAATGAAACTAATGGTTGTCCCTTTTAACTTGGCCATCTTATTCTATTTCATCACTTATTTTTCTAAAGATTTTAATCAAGCCTCATGTACACATGGTTAATGGATGTGTGAAACTATTTGACAGTTGTTTGAAGGTTTTTTTTTTTTTTTTATTACTAATAGTCTTAATTGGACTTTTCGATGGGATCATGTGCATCCAAAAGTCCATTCAAGACTCTCTTTTTTATTATTATTATTGGAAATGTCACAACTAATTGAAGCAAACAAGTTCGAGGGCCAATGATAACCATAAATTGAAATTAAGAGTTTGATAAAATTTGGGGTTTTCAAAGATCTTTGACCTATTAAATTGTATAGTGCACATGTAAACAACCACTAGAGTTATTTACCCATAAAAAAATCCATTTATATGTTGTCTAATGTACATACATCACTCTCTCATGCGTATCATACCTTTGAACGTTTGTAATTGCACGGTTGAAAGTAATGTAATTAGTGCATTATGTAGAATCCTTTGGATTCTTGCAGATTGCACCTCTTCTCAATCTCTTTAGATGTACTTTTCTTAAAAATATTATTGATAGAAGAAATTTATAATGTTTTGGTGTTTTATCTTCTGAGTAGATAGTAGTTAAGATTTGTTCAGCCTGAATTATCATTCGTATTGTTTTTTACTTTCGGGAATCATATAATTACCGAGTACTCACATACCCTGTAAACTTTACCCGCCATGAGAAAATAATACTTCAACCTAGCTAGCATCGGAAGTTTCAGAACTCCTTAAACACCGTTTTGAAAGGAAAAAAAAAAAAAGAAGAAGAAGAAGAAGAAAGAATATTAATGGTACAGAAGTTTATAACTCGATTAAACAACCATCTTAATTTGCTTGTCCCATGAGAATTATCTAACCGAACAAAAGATAACGTATTCTCGATGGAGCCATGTTAACTTACAGTCAAGCAAACCAGATGGGAGAATAATAATCTCAACTGAAGAAAAGTACAAAGTCTGTTTTATCAATAACACATTAATAGCATTTCCAAGAAAATATAGTACATTAAATAAATGAGTAATTGGGAAATGGTTAAGTCCTTTTATTTTTTTATATTGTTCATCAATGAATATTGTTTTCTTATTTTATTTCAGTCCTTCGATCGACTTTCGTTTATGGATTTGAGTTCACTTGAATTCTTTTTCATGTTTAGTTAGATATCTATTTCTAATTGATAACATATATATAGTGAAGGAAAAAAATTATCTAATGGTAATGATCTACTCCCTCCCTCCGGGTCGTATTATAAGTCATTTTGATTTTGTCTTAGGTTTCACCTAATATGTCTTTTTAATTAGAAAAAATTCTTAAAAATAAATTTTCACATTCATTTTGTTCTCCTAATTATTAGGAAATATTTTTAAGGTTTTTATTCCAATTAAAAAGACATTCTAGGTAAAACCTAAAACAAAATCAAAATGCTTTATAATAAAGACTAGAGGATTGGAGGGATTATTAATTTGTGATATAAATTGACAAAAAAAATTAAAAGTTTTTGCAAGGATCTTAGTAGGGAGAGGAGAAGTGTGTGTAAGAAACTATATATATTATTACAATAACTCCTGATTTACCTCGTTATCTTTGAATGTGATCCAAGTTTGATGGTTTGATTTAATTAATAAAGTAGATTTTTTAGAAGTTTACAATTGAATCTTATTTAGGAAAAAAAAAAAAAAGAAGAAGACTACTGTTGCTTTTGATTAGTTAAAAACTATCATTTTATGAAATATTCCAATATCTCGATACAATTCATACGAATTAACGGAGGTCTTTTATAGTTCACTTAATAGAGAAGAGAATTTTCCTATAGATTCTATATGCAGGTTGACAAAAGGAAAACAAATACTACCAAACAATTTAAACAAGTCAGCAACGTTGGACTTGGATGATTTTATGAATTTTTTTGTCCTAATTATATTTTGTCTCAGTCTTAGCGAAGCAAGGTATATTTCGTCATTTTTTGCCCTTGATATGAACTCCTTTCAACCTCACTCCTTTTTGTCTTCCGACGAAGGAAACTATGCAGGAAGAATATCCTCAAGTGACTGAGCGGGACTTTTCTACTACGTCTCCCAGAATTGAATAACTCATGTACTCTTTTTTTTTTTTTCTTTTCCTTCGTTTAGTGAGACTGAAGAAATTCACGATTAATTAAAAGAGATCGGGATATACGAATGATCCATCTTAACGCAATATATAATACTATATAATTACATAGTAAAACCACATCCGTTACTTTGTCCGTAGCTTTGGGAGAAACAATTACGTACGTTAAATTTTTAAAGTGGCAATATGATACGTGTAACTTTTTTTTAAAAAAAAAAAAAAAATTTACTTCAGTGAACTCCGCTTAAATGTGTGTAAAACCCCTTTACAAACTCCTTGGTGAGAATCGAACTCTAATCTGTTATCAAGAAAAATATTACCCTAACCACTAAACTATAATTCAATTCTCTTGGTATAACTCATGTGTAGATAGATTCTCATATAGTTGTCACTTGTTACCATCAACTTCAACCCACATCATCCTGACAATCGATCTACTAGATCCCACTCAGAATTGTGTGTTTCTTTCTTCCAATCAATGTGGAATTCCTGATTTTAATTGATTTTTTTTTTTTAACTCAAGAGTTCTTGACATCAAATCAAACCAAATATAGTGAGTTCATTTATTTAAAATATCATCAATAATCAAGTTTAGTTCTTAAAAGAAATACTTATCTCTTCCAAAAGAAAAATTCACTGTGTTGAATTAGAATAATAACATTTTAAAACAGAATTAGAATAATAAACGCATTGAACTATTTTTTTTTTTTAAGGAATTAGGAAAAACTAGATAAAATTTTACTTTCGTTTTATAAATGTTGAGTCAGTTAATGATATATATATTTCGATAATTAAATTTACTATTTTGAACGACGAGGATAGTTCCAATGTTGCTGCCTCACCGACCAGCAAGTTCGAGGACTGAGATTACAAAGCAGCTGATTTCAAAGAATAAATATTTGTTTTCCATTCAGATTTTACATGTAAAACTGATCGTCCAAATATTATACTATTTCCAAATAGAAAAGATTGAAAACGCCTTCTAGAGTATTTGAGTGACTAAGAAGAATCTTCAGAGACTTGAAATGTTAAAATTCCTAGTCATTTACGATATATATATATATATATATATATATTATTTTTTTCTCTCTCTCTCTCTCTTTTGTTTTTCCTTCTCTGAATCGGTGGAGGAAAAATTTGTCTTTTTGCCGAAAAGAAGAACAATTGCTGAAAATAGACAATCTGGAATAAAATTTTCATCACTCAGCTGCGGAATATTTTGACCATAATTATTTAGAGTAATTAAGCTTACTCTGTATTGAAATGTCGCGGGAAGAAAAAAAAACCGGCAACTTGACAGTTTCAAAATTAAGTACTCCATGTTTTAAAATGATTCTTCAGTTTAAATGTTTTTTAGTACCAATAAACAAGAAATTAAACAACGTTACAGCCGGTACATATATGAAAACCTCGAACTTCATTAAGAGTTTCAGTTGTAATCCTCCGTTGGACTCATTTTTAATTTGTTAACTTTATGACGTAGTTAACAACATTTTTAATCGTTGAGATAATAATCAGATGGCCGTGGGGAACATTTTTTCCCCAATTCGATACATAGCTATTGTGGTGAAAAATTGAAAGAGGAAAGCAAAAAAAACACAATATACTAGCCTGGTGGTGTTTAATCTTTTTGAACTTTCTCTTGTCCTGATTTCTAATTAACAATATTCATTCTTATAAAGACAACATCGAAAAATAATACTAATATAAAATTGTCCAGGCAAAAGTGCTTTGTACTGACCCGCCAAAATAATATATTCGGATGTGACAACATCCTTATTAACAACCCGCCAAAGTAAACTAAATACTCTCTCCGTCCTAAAATTATTATCTAGTTTGTATTTTCACTTTTAGTATAATTTAAATTAGAATTGAAAATTCAAATTGGACAATAATTTTGGGACGAAAATTAAGTACAACACTCCTTGTTTTACATGCTAGATGATCCAAGCTAGAAAATTTCCCAGAAAACATCGAAAAGCTTTCATCATTTAGTAGTCTATTTTTGTTCACTCTACCATTTCGCATTTGGGGTTTTACCAATGTAAAACCTCTACCGTCCATATCTAAAAGGAGGCTGTGTTAAGTTCAATTTGCATAATTCCTTCCTCATTTCTCCCAAACTGTTGTATATATTTCTTCTACATATACATATCTATTAATTAACTTAAGTGAGTCAAATCATATTCTTAATTGGCCAGTTAATGGAAGAGGCTGCAACAACAAATTTATTTTTTTCAAGGTTCAATAATCTCGAACTTGCAAATCACTGAAGCCACAGTCCACTGAACCGTCAATCACTACTATTCTCGACCAATGTTTCGAGATGACACAAATGTGTCATCTCGTCACGCCACTTATGCCTTTGCCGTGACCGTGATGATCAATTTTCTCCAGCTTCATTTCCAAAGGAAACCCGAATCTCCATTCGAGACCCGGCCCGTTGCCATGTGGTTGGCTGTTGTGAGTTTGATGGTTTATTATTTATCATATGAAACAAAGCTAAGGTTCTCAAGTTTTGATCTTGGTAACAGTTACTATAAATATTTGCTAAACCGCTTTTTCCTTGTTAGTATGGCAGTTTTCGGGCCTTTATCATTGGCAGCTATCTCTCATGTGTGTTACTGATTTCAGGAGTCTTGGTTTATTCATTCTCCCGACTGAAATTATGTGAAATGAAAGTGATCTGGGATCGGTTAGCTGAAGCTGTTAGAAGGAGATTCTCTCATCAAGAGCACCAACAAGAAGGAGCAAGAAGAATGGAAGCCCGAAGAATCTCAACCGAGGCACCTTGGGATTTACTTGCAGGACAAGCCACCATGAATCCTGTTGAAATTCGTGTTCGTCCGCCTGTTTAGCTACTAAAAGTTCCCTCCCATACAAAAAGCATTCCATTTTTTGTGAAGCACTTCTTTCATCCCGTAATTATTGTCCAGTTTGAATTTTCATTTTTGGTTCAAATTGTACTAAAAATAGAATCTCAAAACGAACAATAATTTTGGGTAGAGGGAGTACTTTAATTCCATAAAACATATTTCCTCTATCTAGAAAATGATTCACAATGATTCACATTGATTTTAAAATCTGTGATGTTTTTTATACAAATTTCAAAATTCAATTTCAAATGTTTTTTTTTGGAACGGAGGAATACTATTTTTCTTGGAACGATTGGAAGTATACCAATAAAATGACGAGATCACATAAGATAAGAAAACTCTTGGTCCCAAATATGATGGACTAACAGTCAGTGATTCATCGAGTGAACTGACTTTGACCAAAATAGCTACATATACATCTTAGCTTTAATAGAGTTATACGTTGTTTCACTTATGAGTTGCCTTAGTACGTAAATTCGGGATCACTGATGGTTTGTCTTTGATTCTTAGTACAATTTTAGTTAGTTTCTAAGTTTTAGAATATAGTATTAATTGTCTCCGAGCTTCAGGTTTCTTTAAGAGGTTCAGAATACGTATTGTATTCTAAAGACGTGGCAAGAATTGCTGAGGCGGAAAACGAAATTGACCCATTAATAATACTTTTGCTAATTGCTTTTCTCTATTTGTTAGCGCTTTGTGCTAAGTCCGAATTTCTTCTTGTTTTTTAAGGCTGCAATTAGCTAGGAATAGCTGTTTTCCATCACGATCGATCACTAGTGATAAATCATAAATCAGTACCAATTTCAAAATATTCTTTAAGGTTCCGAGGTTTTGAATCAATTTTCAGAAAGTTAGAAATCCTTTTAATAAATAAAACATCTAACCTGTTATGGTTAAAAATACTTCTTCAATCTCAAAATATAATATAGGAACATGCACGTTGTTATTGATTACTATAAGTAAAAATTCTACTGCATTGGTCCCCGGTTGATAGACCTGAAGGGATGATAACCCTATAATTAAAATGCATTAAAATGCAATGAGCGCCTCACCAGCACTAATCCAAAAAGCATCTGGCCAAATATTGCAAGCGGAAAATGCAGAACTTGGTTTCTGCTTGCTCGCATAATTAATCCTTTTTCTAAAAAGTAAATAAATCAGATAATTATAATTTTTCTCGGCGTCTTATGAATCGTTCGAGAGAAAACAAGATGAATTTCAGGTTCATGTTAATTTAATGTTTTACGTTAATTAGTTAGTTGGAACTTAATTAGAACAATGAAAATAAATAAATTTTAGTTGTGTTTTACTTAATAAGACAGCCACTTCCATCTGACGACAAACTGAGTCAGATCAGCCAGATGCTAATTTTCCAAAATGCTACTAGTTAACATTATTTTATGCCAAAAAATCGACCTGCAGTCCTTCAATTCATCTTGGTACGTGTCATTCGTTCACTCCCAGTAATGGCTGGAAAAAAAAAATTCAAACCATTTAGTCCATATCAATCTCGATGAAATTTCGGTCAATTTTTTGTTCTTTTTGAAGGATACAAATTTTTTCAGTTGAAATATTTTCCGCAAGAGGCCGAATGACTTAGAAAGCAAATTAGTGCTTGTTTGGACGTCATCTTACATTTTATTTTGCCACTTAAAAAGTAAAAATTATTTCAAGTTGAAAACTAAATTAGAAATGAAAGTGTTGTTTGGATGGTATTTTGATCAAAAAGTTATTTGGATGTTGGTTTTGAAAAAAATATTTTGAACTACATTTTGAAAATATCAAGTACGAGTCATCACTAAACAATTAAACACTGTCAATTATAGTCACTGCAAAAAAGAAATTTTCCAAAAACAATCGCTCAACAACGGAATCCTGCCAAATTTGTCACTGAACTATTTGTATTTCTAAAAAAGTCATTACACTAACAAAAAGTGTTTCAAGTTGAAATTTAAAATGTAAATCAGAAAGTTGTTTGGATGATATTTTCTTTTCTATTGGATTTTGTGTTTAAGAGATAAATTAAGTTAAAATATAAAATAAGTGCTCGTACAAACAAAGCATCATTCTGACACTTTAGTCCATGAACTTTTTCAATTTAGTTGCTTTTCAAGTCAAGTTCATGAATGGGTTTCATTGGTTGATTTTGGGTGGTAAAGTAATGTACAACTTCAGGTTCATATAGTACACGTTTAATGGAATCCAGTCATCGAATATTGATTTAAAAAATGTCAGATTACAGGCTTATTTTGGAGGAAGTAAAATTTCGCCGTTGAATGGTACCTGCTGGGGAGATTGGTAAAAATGTTTTTGGTTAAAATGTAAAGTTTGATTGATAAAAAAGAACCTCACGCATTTGTACATCATCCTGTCAGTTATTCTCTATGAGCTATACTATGTACATAATAGATTAATTCCAAGCTTTCTCCAAGTTTGCATTTCAGTATTTTTAACCTTTTTACAAAGGCTACTGACTCTCATTCTGATTTCTCTTTATCACTTCTATTTTGTCTGTTGTTGATATACATTTGATCCCAAAACACCTGGCATTTCTTTCAATCCACACGTGATATATGACAGCATTGATAGCCGCATGTAACACTTTTTTTTCCAGCTTTTTGAACCTCCAGATTTTCATTAGAACTTCCTTTCTCAGCTCAGTGATCTCCCTGTGAACTCTCAGCCATACTAGAACTCCTTCCATCACCTCCTTAGCATACTGGCAGTTAAAGAACGAGTGATCACATGTTTTATCTTGACTTCCACAAAATTTGCATTGCTTATCTGGAATGATAACATTCAAATGCAGCAGCCTTTTGTTGTTAACAGTCGTTTCTTCCATGCTAGCCAACTTATGAAACAGTGCTTTGGCACACTGTATCTTGACCATATGATCTTTGCATCTTTCATTGCATTTCCCAGGTCCTTTAAGCCATATATAACCACTTCTTGGTGTATTTTTTTTTATCATTTCCCTGCCAAACACCATTCTGCACTCCAGTTTTTAAATCATCCTTGATCTTTAAGAGCTTTTTCCAGTGCCAACTACTGTGTCTTGGCAGTTTATAATCCCAGATCGATTGGTTCTTTAAGTAGTAAACATGCATTCACTTTACCCATAGACTCTCCTTCTTGCTTGCTAAATCCCATAATTGCTTTCCCATCAATGCCTTATTCCAGATATTTGGATCTCTGATATTTAATCCCCCCTCATTCTTCCTTCTGCATACATCATTCCATGCCACTAGTACTAAGGTTCTGCCATTTCTTTCTTTCCCTAGAAGAAACTTCTACAACAGCTGATGATCTGTTGTATAATGCTCTGTGGAATTAGAAAAATCCCTGCCCAATAAGAGTGCAAACTGAGAAGTACTGAGTTGATCAGCACACCTGTGCCTGCGTATGAGAGATGCCTTGTTGTCCAACATTTCAGCCTTGCAATGATTTTTTCCAACAGAATCTGACAATCTCCTTTACCCCATGCTGCTGGAGAGATTGGGCCTAGATATTTCATTGGGAAGTAACCTTTTTCAAACTGAAAAATTGACCTGAGCTGATCTTGCAATTCCATAGAGCATCCACCAAAGTGGACATTTGATTTCAGCTGATTTACTTGCAACCCTGTTATTTCAGCAAAATCATCCAAAATGTCTTCAATCATTCTGACTATTACTGATTCAGATTTACTGAATATCAAAAGATCATCAACAAAACTCAGTGAGATGATCTTTAGCTTCTCACATTGTGGATGAAACTTATGTGGATGATCCATAAAAATGTTAATTTCTTTCATAATAGTACTCTAATTTCTGAGGAACTGCTCTCACATGCATCTTTGAGTTATTTTAATGAGAATAGATTTGTAAGTGATTGCCAATTATTTTGTGCAACATAAGTTTCTTTTCAAATATTCATTCGCTATTAGTTTAAACTATATTTTATTGAAATTAATTTTTTCATATTTATTATATTTAAAGTTACTTAAATTAATTTCAAACTTTTTTCATCGATACTAAAACCCAACCAACGAGAAAAGTTCTATGTTAGAACAGTCCTGTAAATCATTTTCTCTATTTTAATAGTCTATTTTATTATAGTGTTATAATTTAACAAAATAAATTGTTAAAATAGGACGAGTGAAATAACACAACACAGGTGCCCATCATATATCAAAGGCATAAGGTGCACATTAATTGGGTCAGAATATAAACCAGATAATTGCAGCTAGGAGTTTAAAATGACCAAGAACGTAAAACATAGATAGAACGATAAAGAGTCCTTCTAATAAACAGGGTTTGGGGAAAAGATTGCGGTTGATTACTTGTTGGGGACCTCTTGATCATTTTGTTTTTCAACGCTATGATTGTAACTTTTAAAATGAAAATACATACTATATATATCCTTGTTGATAATAACTGTTTGGGAAAGCTTTCATATAAAAAAAAAAAAAAAAAAAAAAACTGTGTTGGAAAATAAAAAATGTGTATTAAAACTGTAAAAATTTGCTTTAAAAATTTAAGAAAATGAAAAAAAATAAATCGAGATACAAAACAAACAGTAACTCTGGGGCCTAAGAAGATCATTTACTGGTACATGTAGCTTATCTCTAGTACTCTTAAGTCGATGGCTCTTCTTGCATTCTCTCGAACAAACCCACGTATTTCTTCACAAGGAACCTTGATAACGAAGCATAAAGACTATTTTTTATTTAACTTATCATAGGACTAAAAGTAAAAAAGAACAAGTCAGAACCCTAACATAAGCATCGTTTATCCTAATTAATATATTGTAGTTAACAATGAGGAACTTTTCATCTTTAGATTTTTAATTTTGTTTTTGATTGGAGTCGAAGATATGGATGATAAGGAGTGGCAAACCTTTTACTCGAGTAGAATCATGAAGGTTGGCTAAAAAAGGATTAATAATAATCAAACTTCTGGCGATTTGTAAAGCCCTATTAGTTAACACGATTTACAGATCTA